GCCTGCAGGCACTCCCAGCTTAGGAACTCTTGACAGTGGCTCCTCTTCTTACAATGAAGGTTGGCAAAAATTAAAGTTGGCTTGGCATTATGTTTAGGGAAAGAGACAGAACTGCAGGTTGTTCACTTACATGGCAAGCTAGAGATTTCATTTGCCAGAGATCCGGGAGCGTTCTCATTCCTATACTTGAGTTACATCTGGAAGAGGAACTTTCAGGCTCTCCGTGGCTCCCTTGGCTCAAATTAAAGCCAGGATATGTGACCTACTAGTTGGAAAGCTCCCAATGGCACACAGCTTCCTAGAGAAGTAGAGACAGAGGGAAAGGCTACATACACCCTTGTGCCAATGCAGTGGACAGAGATCATTAATATGAGATGCATAACAGTAAAATGCAAATTAAGATGAATCACGTATTCTTATTCTTGCAGTTAAAGACCATACTACTGTCTTCCCTCGGCATACCTGTCCCCCTCCGAAACCTGGTTCTAACCTTGACTCTGTCTTGAATTAGCTCCAAGACCTTAGAGCAAATTGCTCAGCTTCTGGTTTCTCACTTCCATCACTTGCAGAATCATCTGAGAGTGAGAGGTCAAGCCTCTTCCTATTCTAAAATAGTACACCTCTGAAATGGGAGTATCTACCACTGAGCATAACTACTTGTTAAATGAAGTAATGAAGAGGTGAGAGAAGGATTGATTGAATGAACAAATACATTAACAAATGGAAACTCAGAGACTTGAGAGGAATGTTTCTGTCCATACAGCTTTCTCAGTCAGGTTTCTGCAAGAGAATTAAGGTTTAATGCCCTAAGGCACTATTGTATGAAATGAATGAACATGTATTCATCTGTCATGATACTAGTTATGGACCAACTTGGGAGAATTGAGACATAGTCACACAAATCATTGTCTATGTTCTGTAGTCCCATTGAGAAAGGCTGTATGATTATTGACAGCCAACAAGCTTGTCAAGGAACCAGCATTTGCCAAAATGCCCAGGAACGTGCAAATGCTCTCCACCACCAAGTCCTAGATGTGCTGTGAGATCTGGGGGCTGATCCACTCACCAGCTCCACAGCATGGCACATGGAGAAGAATGTGGGCTCAGGACACACAGCATCTGGAGTTCCAGCCTTGTTCTCCCACCCCCGAGCTATGCAACCCCCAGCAAACTACTTGGTCTCTTGAGCTTTGATATCCCCCATTGCCTCGTTGTGGGATTTTCCAGAGATCCTCAGACAAGGATTTTAGTGCAAGTCATTTATTTGGGAGCTGATCCAAGGAAGCATGGCATTGCATGGGTTTCTCAGCTTTGGCACTGTTGATGTTTGGGGCCTTAAGATCCTCTGCTAGGGGGACAGTCTGGAGCATTGTGGAATGTTTAGCAGCATCCCTGGCCTCTACCCACTAGATGCCAGCAGAACACCCCCTCAAGGTGTGATGACATCTCCAGATGCTGCCAAATGTTCTCCAAAAAGCAACATTACCCTCAGCTGAAAACCCCAGGCATTGCATAGCAGTTACTATGGCAAATGGCCCAGGTCCCCTCTTCAGGCCTCATTACCCCAGCAGCTGGGAATGTTGGCTGCTGATGGCTCACAGACACACTCCCTCTAGAAGTTGCCCTTGGTCAAAGAGATCAACTGCAGCCCAGTTATGTCTCCTCCCCAGGGGCAGCCCACATCCAGTGACTGGTCGGTGCAGGGGCACAAAGGCCTGGCTATCTTTTCACCAGGCAGGACAACCAAAAAATGCCATCACAGCTGCAGATCTTGCTGTGGGACCAGCAAGGCCTCTACTGCAACTGTACGATAGTTTAGCTTCTCCCTGCACCCAGTTCGGCCTCCCTCACTTCTCTGTATGTGCTACTGCTAAGTGCATTCTCCACTTAAACATCTGCATGCAAATCTCCATCTAGAGTCTGTGTCTGAGGAACTTGAGCTCCAACTTAGAGTCAGTAGGTGTCCTAGGAAGCCGACCCTAAAGTGGCATTTTAGGAGCTGGATTCCCTGCTAGCTGGCAGTGAGTACCCCAAGACCAGTGGTGAGTGAAGTATTGAGAAGCCCAACGTTTTGGAAATGCCATTGTTAAACCTGTCCCCTGTTCTGAACGGGAAGGGATACTTCTGGAGGGGAATGCACTGGCTGGCGAGTATACAAAGCATTTGAGAGGTGCAGGGCTAGAGCAGTAGTAACTCAAAGTACAGTGGGTTCAGATGGCTGCTGCTGGGTGCTGTAAGAGCATTAGAGATAGAAAATGAAGGGCTGAGGGAGGTGATACACCACCATTAAAAGGTAAAGAGTGAGAGTCAGAAGCCTTCTTGGCAGCAAGTAAAGAGAAGCTCATGTCCTGCAGCCAGAAGGCAGAGAAAGCTGAATCATAGGTAGCAGAACCCCAGAGAAGGTTGGAATCACAACTGCAGCAAGGTTGCTGTATCTAGGCCAGAGCTCTGACTGGGGAGGAATTGGACACGGTACTTGGATGGTGACAACTGAGTCGATGTGCTCAGACACCTGGAGCCAGCAGATCCTCCTGAGCCCTCTGACCCTGAAGAAGCAGCCCATTCTTGTAACATCTCCATGGTTACAGGTCAGCGCTCCCCAACCCTTGCTTCAGGACATTTGAATGCAGAGGACTTTCCCTTGCCGGACAGTACATGCCCTCCTCAGGATCTCACCTCGCCTCCTCTCCTGGCCACCAGAACAATAATCAGCATCAAGTCACAACATAATCAGCCCAGAGAAGGGCTGGGCCTGCTACGAGAACCCTGCATGCCCAAGGAGATGTGGGACCCGGCCAAAAGGCATCACCAGGAGCCAGGAAGGTGGATACTGGTTGTCCATCCAAAGGGGACAGACTCTAAAGCTGGATAAGGAAGAGTTTATTATGAGAAACTGATTTAACATCCTGGTAAGAATTTAGGAGATGGTGCAAAGATGCATCTTGGATGGTTCTTGTAAGCTTGGGGAAAGTGATGGTCCAAACTAAGTGACGTGGAAACGCCAGCCCTGCCACAGCAGACAGTGGGGGAGGAGGACCCAAAGGCTCAGAGAAGCAGGCATGCTAGAGTGCTTCTCCTACTTGTGGGAACAGAAATGCAATAAATGGTCATCGCCTACCTCAACATATATACAGTCCCCTCTGGTGGGGTTTTTTTTTTTTCCTTCACATAGGTAGATATGAAGGAAGGGAAAAATATTTAAATCAAATAGTAACAGAATATCACAATCACTAAAAGGCAAAATTATCAGTGCATATACACATATAAATTGTTATCAAGACAGTCTCCCCACAAATATTAAGGGGCAGTTAAAAGTGGGATCTGCAAGGCAGCGGTCCGTGGACTTCCCCAACATAAATAGCACTTGTTCTTGCCACTGAGCAATCAGCTCTTCGCAAGACTGTATCATAGCAACATTCAGGAAGAAAACTTTCAAGAGTATTGAAGCATCCTTTCAGTGGCTACGGTTGTCCTAGCAGCAAGATGGACCAGAAAAAAAATTCCCAGCTGAGTGGTCAGAGTACTGGACCTCAGAGGCCTGAATCTACCACAAACGTGATGCATGACCTTGACCGATCTCTTGATTTTTCTGAGCCTTGATTCCCTCACCTGTAAAATGAGTACTTGGGAGTATATCGTTCATTTAACAAATATTTGCTGAGCATCTGCTAAGTGCCAGGCTTAGAGCCACTGAGCAGGGGAGGGGCAGAGGGATAGATGATCTCCAAGGTCTCCAGCTCTAACTGGGGACTCAGAATGGCACATCCATAGAGATGTGGAAGCATTTCCCAAAATTAGCATCTCCCACATGCTGTCCACATGCCATCTGAGAGCCGGACCCTGGATCCTATTGTCAATGACCCTCTTGCGCATCATCTTTCTTGGTGAAAAAGAACACAGATGCTCACAGTCCTCCCCTTGCCCACTGAGAAGAGGTCACAGCGGAAATGAGCAAAGAGGGCGGCACATGGGACAGGGCTCGCTGAGTCAGCCGGGCCCCTTGCGGCTCCCAGTCTGGGGTCCCTCACCCGCCTCACCTCTCCAGGGAGGCACGCCCCTCCACCACTCTGCAGGCTGCCAGGGTGATTAGTATTTTGCACACTTCAGCAAAGTGAGCTTTGAATCCCGCATGTCCCCTCAGCAAGATATCAGGTGAAAGTAGAGATTTGAATGCCAAGGACAACTACATAATTTGCCTAAGTTCCAGCACAGAAATGCCCCGTGACTGTGCTAGTTCACTTCTTGCCTTTTGCCCTTTTCCCTAGCAAGCCCAGGGAAGAGATCCCACAGCCCAGTACTAAGCCCACACACACCCTTTTTGCAGTTGAGGGTGCTTTCTTCACATGCGGGGAGACGCCCTGTGGCTCTAAAACAAAACTCCTGTTGCTTCTCATTACCATATTAAAGGGTTTGAGATTGTGAGATAGATATCTGTCTCACAACATATATACACTATTATATCATTTCACTTGTAATTTAAATTATGTCCCCCAAATGGTCACCGTTTTATTTTCTATACCCATTCATGAGCCGTACTTACTGCGCAAGCGGCAGGAACTCACCGGACACCCACTGAAGGTTCTCCATCTCTGCCAGTTGAAAGCATCACCTTTCAAGCTGAGTCACGGGGAGGGAAATGCTCAGCCTGCGGAGTTTTCTCCCCTGCCTGGGTGCAGAGGACGGCTTCCACCTCATGGTGACTGTGGAGGAGCGCACAGTCTTCCCTGGGAGGCAGTGGGGCTGGGTGGCACGGGACACCCAGCGTGGATGTTTCTTTGGACGCAGAGAGTCCCTCCCGTCCTTGGAGGCATTGAGCTGCCAGCACCTCCCGAAGTCTGTGGTCACGGCCCTTGGCCTCGAGTCGGGAATTCTCCAGAGAAGTGGCCCAGCAGTCATTTCAGGCTCCACATCTCCCATTACACTAGCTTCCTACGGCTGCCAGAGCCAAGTACCATACACTGGGAGGCTTAGAACAACACAAGTTATTCTCTCACAGTTCTGGAGGCCGGAAGTCCGAAACCAAGGCTTCAGACAGGGCTGTGCTCCTCCCAAGGGCCTCGGCTCGGAGGGAAGAACCCTCCCCTGCCTCTTCCAGCATCAGGCAGCACTGGCCTTCCTGGGCCCAGGCCGGCAGCACTCTGTCTTTGCCTCCATCTTCCCCTGGCCTGGGTCTGTCTCCCTCCTCCTTGAATCTTGCCAGCCTCATGATTTGCCTTGTCCTTTAGAGCAGGGAAGAAGTGATGATGTGCCAGTTCTGGGGTGAAATTTAAAGATACCAGGCAGCCTCCTCCTCTCTCTGGCTCTGAGCAGCCAGCCACTACATTTTAAAGAAACTCAGATTCCTGCATGAGGAGATACCATGTGGCAAGCAAGAGACTGTGTAGGGCAGCAGGGAAGTGCCAGACATGCGTGAGGCCTTCCTGGACCTTCCAGCCTGGCCCAGCCTCCAGCTGAATGCACAGGACACACCACGGGAGCAGAACTGCTCATTCAGGTCCTGCCTGGGTTCTTGACCCAACTAATCATGAGCCATGATAAACCACTGTTGCTTTAAGCCACGAGGTTTTGAGTGATTGGTTAGATCGCAGTAGACAACTGAAACACATTTCATGTCATTTTTCAAAATAACTTCACAAGGAAATATTATTCTCTTTGTTTAAATATGAGGAAAATGAGCACAGCAAAGCTTGAACTTGCCCAAAGACACAGAGCTACAAGGGATTCAAAGAAACATTCAAGATTAAACTGAGCGCCCATGCTCTTTTCACTAGTCATGGAGGACAAGCCTACTGTTCACCTAACATGTTGGGTACAGGTAGCCTCTATTCTGATTGGTCTGGTGTCTATTCCCATTAGTCAGGACCTATTCTTTACTAGTTATTACATATTTGGAATATTGCCCTTGACTGGGAGCACACAATAATAAGAAGCAAGAATCACAGCCATCTTTGGAAAATGTTGGAAGTGTTTGAACTTTATAGAAAACACCCCCCAGCCTCGCTGTCCTGGCCTTAGCAACCTGGCTTGCTTTGGATGTACCAGTACCTGAGGCTAAGGCACAGAGATGACATCTCGTCCTCCCAGGTGTCCAGGGAAAATCTTATGCACAACCAGAAACAGTTGTTGGTAGCCATGCCACACAGGCCAAACAAAAACATACACGGTAACAATTGTACATTTCCCTTCCCTTTTCTCTTTGTTTCATAGGCTCTGCTATTGGGTTTATTGCTTTGAAATGCCCCTTGGAGCATTATGCAGGAGTAAAACTACCTCATTTAATTCAATGTTTTGCTGTTGGAAGCAGGTTTTATTTCCTGTTCTCGATGCTGGACAGTAAACAAGATGCTTCTATTTTTCCCAATCCTATTTGCCTGCCTCCCCTTGTGTCTCCATGGTTAAAGGGGATAACAAATTTACAATATGCCCCATCATTTATGGAGACTTGGCCTAGGGCCTATAGAGAAACAGATTTCTGCACACATTTTATTCTATACGTTCATGGAAGAAAAGGCAGTGAATCAGTTATGATTAGATGCTTGTACTCAAGTTTTTAGGAGGTTATTCCCCCAGGCTGAGTGAGCCAAAGAATAAGGTACAAATACTTTGATTCCATAACATTTTCAACAACTCCACTCCCTACATGAGAAGTTTCCATGAAGTGTAGCAAACCAAAGGAGGCACTAGACTTTGAATCAGGACATGTGTGCTCTCAACCCATTCCGATTAAGACTTCCTCCCCCAAGTCACCAATGGCTTGTCAAGTCACCGGCGCCTGCTGGCTGAATCTAACAGTGGATTTTAATTGTCATCGTATTCAGTATCTCAGCAGCAGCTGACACCGTCAAGTCTTCTCTTCATGAAATACATGTCCCCTTGGCTTCTGGGCCATCCCACATGCCTTGTGTCCCTCCTCCCAGTCTGGTTCTTCCCTCTGTCCTTTGCTTGGTTCCCCTTTGTATGCTGACATGCCCTCAGTTCAGTCCCAGCTTTCCTGTTTCCTGTGTTTGATCTCATCCAGTCCCATGGATTCAGAGGCAGTCTCAATGCTAATGACTCCCAAATTCTTATCTTCAAGCCCAGTATATCTCTGATTAGGAATCTCAAGCCCAATATATCCAAAATAGAATTCCTAATTTTTCCACTTAAACCTACCCCTTTCAGTTTTCTCCAACTCAGCAAATGATACCACCATTCACCAAGGTGCTCAGATCAAATCCCTCTTCTTTCTTTCATACTTCACATTTGCTCAAGCAGCAAGTCCACCCATCCAGCTCTGTCCCAAATACTAGTTATTTTTACCACCTCAACTGCTAGCTTCATTTTTGCCTTGATTATTACAGTAACCTCCTGTGGTAGACCACCATCATTGCCAAGTATTTGCTGCTTCTCCTGAGAAAGGATTATATTTCCTCACTCCCACTGATGCCCAGGCCTAGCCACATGACTTGATTCAGCCAATGAAATGTGAAAGCAGTGATGTGCGTCATTTTCAGGCAGAAGAGTTCAGAATCAGCACATGTTTCACCATGATCTTTTTTATCTCTGCCATGAGGCCAGCAATGTTCCAGACTAAGCACTCCATTCATCTGCACCCTGGAGTGGAGATGGTGTGTGGCAGAGCTGCAAAACATAAAATGTTGTTATTGTAGCATTACTCGGTCATCCTAACACACTTACCAACTTGACCGCTTACTTCAATGTCACTACCCTCCCACCACCTGCCCAGTAAACTCTCCACACAGTAGACAGAGGGACATTTTGAAAGGACAAATCAGGTCATGTCATTTCTGTCACTGGTCTGGAAATCCTCTAAAGTCCTCCACTTAACTGAGAATAAAACCGACCTTCTTCATAATGTCCTATAAGCCCCTCGTGGTGGAGTCCCAGCCCATCACTCTGATAGCATCTCTTATCCATCTTCCTCTCGTTTGCTCCTCTTCATACACACTGGCTGGGAAGGTTGATTTTATGTGTCAACTTGACTGGATCACAGGATGCCCAGATATTTGGCTACATATTATTTCTGGGTGTGTCTGTGAAGTTGTGTCTGGATTGGTAGATGGAATAACGTAGAGTGCCCTCCCCAACGTGGGTGGACCTCATCCACTTGATTGAGAGCCTGAACTGAACAAAAAAGGTGGAGGCAGGATTTGTCCTTCTTCTCTGCCTGATAGATTGATCTGGGATGTTGGTCTTTTCTTACTCTTGGAGTGGGATTCACGCCATTGGCTCTCCTGTGTCTCAAGCCTTTGGACTCAGACTGAGTTACCCACAAGCATTCCTGAGTCTCCAGCTTGCAGAGAGCTGACTGTGGGACTTCATAGCCTCCAAAATCACATGGGCTGATTTGTTATAATAAATATAAATGCAAACATAATCATAAATACATACATACGAGTATCTGTGTGTAGCCCATTGTTTCTGTTTTTCTGGAAAATGTTGACTCATACATTTGCTGCCTTTGTTTCTTCACTATGCCAAAACCTATCCAATCCAAGAAAAAAAATTAAAATTGTACCAACAGCAGAATCTCCATGAAGAATCAAACCACCTTCTACCTTAAAAATCACCTTAGTGAAGCCCACAGTTAACAAGTTTCATCCCCACATACAGAGTCTCCAGTTAAATGTTGAGTGTCCCATTTTTAAATGTGAGCATTAGTCAATAATCCAAGGAAATTGTCTACCTTGAAAAATAGAGGCCAAAGTATTAGTGGAAAAAAAAGATACGTGTAGAAAACAATGCAGGAAGATAAAAAACTAAATAGGAAACTATCACTAATACCCTCAAAGAAGTAGGAAAATTATGTTATTTTAAAAAAATACTCCTAAAAATAAAACAGTTACAGACCAAAAGAGAGTTCTTAGAAATTCAAACTATAATGGCCAGAATAGAAATTTCAATGGAAGGGTCAGAAGAATAAGTTAGGAAAATCTCTTAGAATGTAGAGTGAAAATGGAGAATATGCTACAAAAGAAACTTTAAAAATCAGTCTAGGAGTCCATCAGTTGAGTAAGTTTCAGAGAAAGAGAATATGGAAAACAAGAGAAAGGAAAAGACAAGAATATTCAACAAATTTCCCCAATACTGAAGGGCATGAGTTTTCAGACCAAAAGAGCATGATTTAACAGTACAACAGAGAAAAACAAGACCACGCTAAAATCTATCATCATGAATTTTAAGAACAATAGGAACAAAGAAACTATCTTAAAGTTTCCAAAGAAGTAAAACAGGTTACTCAGAAAGCCAGGGTGACTATGAATTTCTCAGTAGCCACACTAGAAACAAAAAGATGATGGAGCCATGACCTCAGTCTTCAGTGAAAAAATGATTTCCAGCCTAAAATTCTACACTCAACAGAATTATCAATTATATGTTAGGGTAATACAAACATTTCAGACACGATAGGTCTCAAAACATTTACCTCCCATGTACCCTTTTACAAGAAGCTGTTAGAGAAGTTGTTTGGCCAACATTAGGAGGTAAATCAAGAGAAAGGAAGACACAAATTCTGAGAAATATGAACATCGATCCAAGAAAGAGCCAGAGGAATCTCGGAGATGAATACAAAGGGAGAGCCAAGGAGAACAGCTGCGCACTCAGCCTAGAAAGAAAGTAGCCCAGACTGTAGCATCTCAGAAGGGCACAGGAGAGGTATTGTTGGAATACCTGATGTGAGTGAATGTGAGAGGAGATTTAAACAACTGAGGAAAGAGTTTGGGATGAATTAGTGATAGAAAATGAAACAGAGGAGAAAAATCTATTTAACTATTAACTCCAGGAAAGCCTGAAGGTTGTACAAGAAAATCAAAATAATCATGTTCCAGCTCTGAAGTGTTTATATAGACAGGATAATATACACACTAAATATTAACCTAAGCAGAATTATGAAATAATAGTGAGGTAATGGGAGGGTAAGAGGTCAGATAATTGTGCAGGATGGAGCAGGGCAGGGGTTGTAAAAGAGAGCTGAAATAGTAGGAGGCTAATAGCTACTGCCTAAAGCTACCTATTTTTCCTGGAAGAAGGAAAAAGAAAGGAGTACTGTAAGCATATTTTAGAGATAAGGAAATAACATAAAAATAATCAACTGAAAGAGTTAAACACGTTGATTCAAGAAAGCAAGTAAATAGCAGAGCCAGGGGGAGCTGATGTATTTTGATATGCCTTGTGAAATTATTTGATCCCTGTTGTGGAGTATTTGTGTCCTTTGAATTGACAGGTTGAAGGTGTAATGTACAATTTGATAATATTTGGAGGTGGGGCTTTAGGGAGGCAATTAGCTTTACATGAGGTCATGAGTGTGGGGTCCCCATGAGGGGATCATATGAGTGTCCTTATAAAAGAAGAAGAGAGACAAAAGCTCACTTGCTCGCTCTCTCTCTTTGCCATGTGAGAACACAGAGAGAAGGCAAACCAGGAAAGGTCCATCCCCAGGAATCAAATCTTCTGGCACAATGATCTTGGACTTCCCAACCTCCGGCACTGTGAAAAATAAATGTCTGTTGTTGAAGCCACCCAATCTATTTCATAATGGCAGCCTGACCCAACTAAGACAACCCCTAAAATTATATAAGTGCATAATTTTGATGAAAACTAAATTTCAAAATGATCATGAATCAACAATAAATTGAAAGGATGACTGTAAATTGGCTTCCTTTTGTTATGTGCACACAGAGACACACAGCACCATTTGGGCAATACATTTTGCAGAGCATCTAAATGCATGAAAATATTTCAGGGAAGTGTTAATGATGGCCTGGGCCAATCTGTCTTTTGTAAATAGTTCTCAGGAAAGTAGACTAATTAGAGCTGGGGTAGGAAAAATGATACAACAACCTATCAATCAACAGCACTTGCTGCTCATCTCATCTATCAGATATACAGCAAGAGATATTCAACATTCATGAGGTGAGCAACCAAGTATAAGATATAGTTTCTGGCACTCAAGGTTTTGTTATTCAAGGAAAGACATAGACCATAAACTTCTGTAACTTTAACGACAATACAAATTTCATAAATAATGTTTTATTAAAAGGTAAAGAGATGTCTCAGGATAATGTACAACTATTGCTAAATACATGTCACAAACTACAGACATGTTATCATTTAGAAGAAAGAGAAATCATGGTGCTGGGAAGGAATCTCAGAGGAAAGATATTAGAAATAGGTCTAATGAGGGATGAGTTGGACTTGAATGGATGGAAAAAGGAAAAATTCAAAATGAGGATCCAGGAAAGCAAGATGTGGTCTTGGCACCACAAAGAAATCGCAGGATCTAGAGCCACAGTGTTTGGATGGGTGTGCTAGGCGAAGTTTTAGCCCTTGGCCTGAGAAAAACCACTTATTCAGAAAAAAATACTTTCATCACCCACAGTGAAGCCAGGAATCCAGCTAGGTGTCCTGCTGGGATGTATACCCATCTTTTTATGAGATTAAAAAAACCTAGGGATGGTTTCTGATCAATGTTACAGGCCCGAATTCTGTATAAACAGCAATTACTTCTAGGCAAAATCATTAATTAGGGCATTGTCTTGATTCTGTTGTGAATAATAAAAACATATTCATAGAGTTTCACACTTTGATGAAAATATCAGGGTGTGATTTATTGAGAAAACTATTCTCCAAGAGAATATAAAAATGTAAGCCTTGCATCTTATAAAGTTCAAACACATTACCTCTTCAATGACTGAAATAAACTAAAGAGACCTCAATGAAGACAAATAAATAGGGTAGACATGGAAACTGGCAAAAATTAATGTCTGACATTTATGTAGCGCTTAGATCTCAGTGAAGAAAATCTAGAACAGTAGGAAGTCAGAAGCATTTCCTACACATAACTATCACCAGAAAAATCTACACACAACATAGTCACTAAAAAAAAAGCTTCTGATTTGATCTGTAAGTCGTTGAGATCTGGGAACAGAAGAAATTAGACGTTCACTTCAGGAGGCAAGGCTGTGACCAGTTTATACACAGTTCTGGAAAAGCAGGTGGCTGTAGCCACAAGTGCCCAGCAGAAGGCAGACAAGAGCTGCTCAAGTGAATATTCTCAGAAGGCCCCTGGTTAACTCCAGTCAGGAGAAACCATCTCCTCCACCTGCACAAAGACGGTCAGAATCAGCCCAGAACTAATTGGTGAAGGAAGTTTTGGGTGGTGGGAGAGAGGAATGGCAGGTAACATGGACCAAAGGCAGCCAAAGCAGATGAAGCAGGCTAAGAAGAATCATGGAGAAGCCAGAGGATGGAAAAGAAAGAGACAGCAGCCAGGGGTCAGAGGCTCTGGGTGCAGGAGCACAGGGGCCCTCATCAGGCTGCAGCCCTGCTCAAAGGCTTTCAATGGCTCCTTATTCCCACAGCAGGAGCCTTAACTATATAAACTCGGGAGGCTGATATTCAAGGTCTCCCTACTGTCTAGCCCTGCCCTACCTTAAGAATCTTTAGGATTTACTGTTTTTCAGTCTCACACCAAGATGCCAACCAAGCCAGAAGAGAGTGCCCTTCTCTGCGTCTGTTCCCGCTGCCCCTTCTCCATTCCTTCGCCCACACACTGGGTGGCCATGGCATGCTGATGATGGGAGGGATACGGGATCCGTAAGATAAAGTGCACACCTTCAGGAGCCACCAGGGAGAGACAGACAGCAACGCACAGTGACAGCTACTGCAGAGTACAGTGAGGGTACTAAGCAAGGGAGTTCATGGGGTGGCGAGAGGAGTGGCCGACCGTTCAGCTTCCTGGAGGAGGTGGCAAGCCCCCTGCTTTCCCGCTCCTCTCCACACATCTAATCCTTCGGTCCTGCTGTTATTTTCATCTGCCCATCCACCTTTCCCTCCTCCTGATAAAAGGACCCCCTCTCCTCTTTTGGAAACTGCTCCCCAGTTCCCTTTCCAGGTGGGCTTAGGTGACCCTACAGCAGCCAGGGGTCAGAGGCTCTGGGAGCAGGAGCAAAGGGGCCCTCATCAGGCTGCAGCCCTGCTCAAAGGCTTTCAATGGCTCCTTATTCCCACAGCAGGAGCCTTAACTATATAAACTCGGGAGGCTGATATTCAAGGTCTCCCTACTGTCTAGCCCTGCCCTACCTTAAGAATCTTTAGGATTTACTGTTTTTCAGTCTCACACCAAGATGCCAACCAAGCCAGAAGAGAGTGCCCTTCTCTGCGTCTGTTCCCGCTGCCCCTTCTCCATTCCTTCGCCCACACACTGGGTGGCCATGGCATGCTGATGATGGGAGGGATACGGGATCCGTAAGATAAAGTGCACACCTTCAGGAGCCACCAGGGAGAGACAGACAGCAACGCACAGTGACAGCTACTGCAGAGTACAGTGAGGGTACTAAGCAAGGGAGTTCATGGGGTGGCGAGAGGAGTGGCCGACCGTTCAGCTTCCTGGAGGAGGTGGCAAGCCCCTGCTTTCCCGCTCCTCTCCACACATCTAATCCTTCGGTCCTGCTGTTATTTTCATCTGCCCATCCACCTTTCCCTCCTCCTGATAAAAGGACCCCCTCTCCTCTTTTGGAAACTGCTCCCCAGTTCCCTTTCCAGGTGGGCTTAGGTGACCCTGACTTGGCAAATCATATTTCCCCTTCCCTTTGTCCATGGTAATTGGCTCAAGGAGTATCCTCTGAGCCAATCAGACTTCTTCCCTGGATTTTTTTCTCCCCATTTGGAGTCCAAGGGATAGCTCCCTCTTTCTCCTGGCTCGGAAGGTGTTAGAGTGTGTTCCAGAGCTGCTCGTACTGTGTCTCTCACCTCCTCAAGGATTCTGAAAGAATAAACTGTAGAGAAAGAGGCAGAGAAACTTGACACTAAGCAAACCCTAGAATTCAGAATTCTAGGGTTGAGACTGTGTCTGACTGCATGTAACAAGAGCCCATCTCCGGAAATAACCAAAGAAGAATTTATTTTTCTCAGGTAGCAAATGATCAGAAGGCTGTCAGGTGAGATCTGGTGTGCTGGCTCTGTGACAACAGCAAAGACCCGGCCTCCTCCTACCATTTTGCCCCACAATCCTCATCACCGGGCTGTCATTCTCATCTCCCAAAATAATTGCTGCCTCTCTGGGTGTCATATCCACATTCTAAACAAGAAGGACAAGAAGCATATGCCAGCAGTGTCCCCCTTTGCTAGGATTCCCAGAGGTTCCCCAGCCCCATACACTTCTGCTTACATCTCAATCTTCAGAAAAGCATTCAGCATCCATCCATAGCTACAAGGGAGTCTGGAGGGCTGAGTGTTTGGCTTGGGCACATTGAGAAGACAGGAGGAATGCATATTGAGTAGGCAATGGTGGTGTCTGCCTCAACTCCTAAATTGTTTGCCCATACAAGTCCACAAATCCTCCTTTTAGCTTAAGCTAGTTTGAGATAGGTATTTGTAACTCAATTATAAAAAGCCATGATGAATACATCTGCCAAAGGCCATCACCACCACCTGATCCAACTACATCAGGATAGTCTTGCCTTTTAACAAGTGCTTTTCCCATAGCAGCCTGAGGAAGGGCAGTCGTGGGGACAGGGTTAGTCCCACAGAGCCAAAGCAGACAGAAGGACACTACAAGAATGATTTCTGGAGTGTAACGCCCCTTGCCCCTTGCAATGTCTGCAGGGAACTAAGAAGGGGCTGTCTTTACAACCATCAGCACCATAAACTTCTACCGAGTCACTGTTATTGACCATATCACTTAAAATCAGCAATGCTACCCAGGCTTGTTGCTGGCAGAAAAGAGGGAAGACAAACAGCCCTATTTGCCACTAAAACACTCAAATATAATAATGATAGAGCACAACACAGCAGTACGAGAGAATCGGAAAGTTCTTTAGGTACTAAAGTGCAAGACTTTCCAACAGGCATTACTGAGGGGAAAAGCAAAGTATATGGTATATACAGGAGATAATCATATGTGCTAAAGGAAGAAAAGGGTGATACATGTGTGAATATTTGTATCTGCCTAAAATATTGCTGGCACGATGTGTAATGCAAGAAACTGGTGCCTCTGGCTGCCTCCAGGAAGAACAGGGAGCCTGGCGAAGAGGAAGAAGGCAATTCTTTTCTACATCCTTTAATTCTTTTGAATTCTGGACCTTATAAAACCCATTTGAACCTATTTGTCACTGTTAGGGTCTTGTGAACTTATTTGAAAAAAAATAAAAATACATTTCCTGAAAAACACATTTTTTGTTGTGTTTTGTTTTGCTTTTCAACCAGAATGGGAAGAAGGAGATTGGCATCCAGGACTGGGAAGAAAATTAGCATCTGTTTAACAATAAAAAGAGAAATAATGTCTTTTGATTAATGGATGCTTTTTCTCATATTATTCTCAAAGAATTTACAGACTTCAGCTCATTCATCATCTCTCTTTTACAAGGAGTGGAAAAACTGATCCAATTCCTTTCAGCTCAGAGGTGAGGACAGACTGAAGAGTCCAGTCTCCGAGCCTGGCCAGCTCCTCTGTCCTTGAAACTGACAGATGCCTTTGTCCAGGCTAT